ACGTTACTTATATATGGCTACAGGACATTCCCCCCCCGTATTTACCCCCCCTTGAAGCAATTACCCCCTGTCAATTACCTCCGAGAAATTACTCCCCCCCCCGCCCCTCAAGTTAGAATCCTAACTCTAACTCAAATTCTATACCTATATATTATCTTAATCATAACCTTAAGAAAAAGATAAAACCAAATCATTCACCTCAGCCTAAAACTTAACATTGGTTTAAGCCTAACCCTAACCTTAACCTTAACCCTAACCCTAACCATAACCCTAACCCTAACCCTAACCCTAACCCTAACCCTAACCCTAACCCTAACCCTAACCCTAACCCTAACCCTAACCCTAACCCTAGCCCTAACTCTAATACTAACACTAACACTAACACTCACACTAACACTAACACTGACACTAACACTAACACTAACACCAACACCAACACCAACACCAACACCAACACCAACACCAACACCAACACCAACACCAACACTAACACTAACACTAACACTAACACTAACACTAACACTAACACTAACACTAACACTAACACTAAAACTAAAACTAACACTAACACTAACACTAACACTAACACTAACACTAACACCAACAACAACACCAACACCAACACTAACACTAACACTATATTTATATGTGTAGGGGTATATATATATATATATATATATATATATATATATATATATATACATATATATATATAATTATTTTATTTTTATTATATTATGAGCAGAATAGATAAAACACAGTATTTTTTAGGCTAGATGAACTATAATGGTGCCTTTACTCGTAACAATTTAGTCCGATTGGTAGCAGTTAGCACGATTTAGCACAAGTTAGCACTTTGATGACACATTGTTTCTGTCTAGCAATCAAGACAGTATGTCTCTCGGTTGTTAGGTGTCCGTGTAACTCCCTGTTGGCCTTTCTGGGCTGGTTGATCGTTTTATAGAGAAGCGTTGCTAGCCCTTTACACATCTGACTAATTCCCACTACCGTCTCCCAAAGATGACTAACTATCACAGCCAACTCCAACATTTTACTAACTACCACAATCAACTCTCACAGACGACTAACAACCACAACCAACTCGCACATCTGACTAACTAGATGACTAACTACCACATCTGACTAACTACCACAACTAACTTCCACGATTGACATACTTCTACATCTGACCAACTAGCTCCCAAAACTGACTAACTATCCATACTTGACTAATCTCACAACTGGCTAAACTTACAATTGACTAACTCTCAATATTATACACAAATTAAATATTCAAATTCTTACACCTCACTTATCTTTCGATCCAATTCACTTTACAACCCATGGATGCCTTTGTCACATTCATCATCTCATTTCATATGTTCATAACTGATTAAGCAAAAGTAAGCTCGAAAAGAAATAACCACAAAAGTTTTATGTTGAACTTATGATTTTAATAACCAACAATGCTAAACACAAATACTTGCATATCATAATCTAAATTTGCATATAATTCATCAATTGTAAACATTATAAGCACTCAAGCACGGACATATATATATATATATATATATATATATATATATATATATATATATATATATATATATATATATATATATATATATATATATGTATGGGTATTTACATATATATATATATATATATATATATATATATATATATATATATATATATATATATATATATATATATATATATATATATATATATATATATATATATTTGTATATATATGTATATATATATATATATATATATATATATATATATATATATATATATATATATATATATATATATATATATATATATATATATACTATTAAAAGCGAATTCTGGAGTAAAAGCAAGTTATTAACAATACATTGTACAAAATAAAAACTTTTATCACATTTGCTTTACAATGATTTAGTATTTGCATAGAGAAAGAAATGCTTTCAGAAAAAAATACCTTTTGAAGTTATTGAAATGCATATTTTCAACAAAACAGATAAAACATGGTGAAAAATTTATATTTCAAATTTTCAACATTATTTTGAAAGATATTGATACAACTGTTAAAAATGTTACTTCCTAAATATTAATACTGTATAGTCTATACATAGATTTCATAAAGTTTAAATTAGAAAGATCGCCCTGATTTTTACAAATTTTACGAAAGCCCTACTACAATCGATTATTTAAAAGCGAAGCTCTCTTTCCTAACCTGAATTAAAATTCACCTTTTTCTTTTACCTAGGCATATGGAAGACTAGTGTGATCAGGGACGTATAGCAGAGCCCGGATTCGAACTCGAGAATTTCGGATTAGCATTCTAGCTCTCTACGGCTAGGCCACTCCGTCCCCAAATAACTTATTTAATATTCTTAAAATTCGTAACTAGAAAGAAGTTTTGCACCGTCAGTTGGCAAATTCCTTTTTTAACTCCAAGTTTACACAGTTAATTCGTCATGTCAAAATGGGAAATAGCAGTACTAACAATGTATTTATTTACATACACCGACTTTGACTATAAACTTTATTTTATATATCAACTAATTTTGTATTCACTGAATAAAGAGAAGGGTACTGGGTGATAATTAACCCCCACACATCAACCAATTTTTCTGCGTTATGAGAAAATATAAATTGACATCATTAAAACCTGAAATAATTAAATTTTTATATGATAATTGCTTTTCTATATGTGCTGTGCGGACAGTCTTTTATTTTCTTATAATTGGGCAAACATAATCTATTGAATTCAACATTGCTAAGCTAATTGAATTACACTTGTAAACAATTCATACATAACTAAATATTAACTTGCGAAGATGAGCTATTCAAGGCACTGTGGATTTTGAAAATGCACTTAATCAATTTTATTAAGAATATTTTCAAATGCGAATATAATTAACTTAAATAAAGGCTTATTGTATGATGCATACGTCTGAGTTAGTTTATACCGATTAAGAATAAAAGCGTTTATATATATCTGAGAAATTACGAAGAAATAATTAATTTTCCAATTGGATCAATAAAATGAGAGCTTCCTCGAGTTAAGTTACATATATTGGGGTTGAGACATTTAACGTGCTTACATAATTATATTACGAAATCCAACACTCGACGTCATATTAGCACAATTTTAATTTCTTAAAACTGTTACCTATATATATATATATATATATATATATATATATATATATATATATATATAATTTGTGTGTATGTTTCAGAACTTTCTAAAAAACAAAACCCTACTGTCCAACAATACAAATGGTCGCAACATTAATTTGTAGAATTTTTTTTTTTTTTTTTTTTATAATCCATTACACTAGTCGTTTTGTATGTTAATTGTTTTACAGGGTCAAGTTGTACTATATTAAAAAGAAATCTATTTACTTCATTTGACATTTTTACTGCAATAATATTTCCTAAATCTACTAAATATGTGTTTTAGAAGTAGTTAGGTAGATGACTGTAATTGTGGATAGATAAACAATAACAGAATAGGATTTAAAATAAGTCCACTTAACTAAAAAAAAAAACGTTTACATAATTCTACTAACAACGACTTCAGATGTTACATCTAAAATATATCAACATTGATTAAAACAATTTCTCTTTTTTTTCTAAGTCGTAACGAATCTTAGAAATCAAAGTCTTTTCAGCATTATATATCATTTACAAAGTCAAATAAATCTTTATACACACTAACAACCTAAGTCTTGTTGAAAATCTTTCAATTATCCATGTTGTTCAGAAAATTAATCAATCTCTATTTTGTTAACGAAGTCAACGCTAGTCTTCCTTGCGTATTGGTACGTCGGTACAGCAAGACTAGCTCTCCTCAGTTCGTGTTTTGGGGGAGCTAACCCATAAGGCACACTAATTCTTCGCTCGCTACACGCGCTGTTATCAAACGCGAAAGTTATTTTCCCATCTTCCTCCTCTGTGATGGTATTAGAAAACGCAACACTGTTGGCGAAGGCAACGCTTGCTTTACGATCTTGTTGCGTGAGTGAAGGGGCGAAAGCAATGCTAAGTCTTCTCTCAGGGATTGTTTCGTCGTTTTCGTCTTTGTTTTTAGATTTCCGGTGTTTTCTGTAATATATTTTGACGATGTGGTAACTGACTTCGATGAGGAACTGGCAGACTTCGATAGCTGTGAGGACAGAGAACCCCAACCAGAGCCCCAGTTGACCGCCGATGTTGCCTAGGAGACTGTTCCAGTCGAAGGTCGGGGATGAAGCGAACGACTCGTAGCGGAGAGTCTCGTAGTAGATCTCTAAACGGAGGAAGTTGTCGAGGGCGTGTTGTCGCGGCTCGCCTGTCCAGTTGTAGGTTTTGTTGTTGGCTGTGGCTGAGTTGTTGACAAACTGGATGTAGTTCTCCATGTAGCGTTTGGCTGGCCACGTCGCCGTGGACACGGTTGTTTGGTAGTTGATCTGTTCGCAAACAGGCAAGCACATGTCTTCGCAGCCGAGAAGATGTTTTTGGAACTGTTGCTCCTTCTCATGGACGCAGGGTGTGTTCGTCCGGTTGCATATCTGCATAGTATCATTCTTCAACGAGTTGTTGTTAAGTACTTGGATCATGTTGGCTATGTCAGTCTTAATACATCCGCAAGATTCGTTAATTTTCATCTGCAAGCATGTCTGTAAACAGGCGTCTTTGGTGTAGGCGTAACCCAAATCGTTGTAGAGGTTTTTGATTTTGTTGGAGTCATCTGATTGGCTGATGCAACTTCCGAACGGTGCCGGAAGTAAGGTTGTCTCCGCCTGTAAACAATTTTTTAAAAATCACGTTACGAATGGCACGATATAATGTTTATTTAACATACGTATTTGTTATAAAGTTTAATAGTATAGTTTAAGTAATATAGGTTGAAATCATAGTATTTGAGTGTACGTACCTTCCTAATGCCAATACTAGTAACAAATCCCGGCGCTGCCAGGATGCCACTGTTATCAGGGAAGACGATCTCAGAGCCA